CCGCTGGCACTGAGCAGCCACCCCTCACCGACCGCGAAACCGAGCTGTCCCAGGCTATGGCTGCTCTCCAGCAGAGGTGCGTTGCTCTCGCCGCGGACCTCGCCGCCGCCCAAGCTCGCCAAGGCCCTCTACTCCAGCGCCTCCACAGCGCCGGGCGAGCCTTCGCCGAGCTGCTCACGCCCTCGCCCGATGGTGCCGTGCCGTCACTCACCATCCAAGCTATGCTGTCATCGTTCCGCGGCGCTCCACCTGGTGCCCCGCGCTAATCTCCTCCTTTCTGCCTGCCCGTGTGTACGCGTGGCTCAGCGTCCACGGTGTCAGGGCGTGGGGGCGGGGGGTGCCCCGTCACTGCGCGCCGCTTAGCGGCCAAGCGCCCAACTGGCGGTCTGCCAAGCCGCCTAGCCACGTGTCAGCACGTCGCCTTTCTTGTTGGGGCCTCTTTCCTCACGCGGTCTGACAGGTGAGATCATCATCGTCTGTCCGCCGTCTGTAGCGTCTGTCGCACTGCGCCGGGGGAGGGGTTTTTTGTTGCCCGCCCTCGTATCTAAAGGCTGCACCGCCGCAAATAGTGTTTTGCGAGTTGTCGCACCGCAGTGCGCCTCGCGGACGGACCCTGGTCCGCCTACTTGTCCGCTCTCTCTCTCTCTCTCTCTCTTCTCTCTCTTCTCTCTCTTCTCTCTTCTCTCTCTCTCTCTCTCTCTCTCTCTCTCTCTCTCTCTCTCTCTCTCTCTCTCTCTATCTCTCTCTCTCTCTCTCTCTCTCTCTCTCTCCCCCCCCCCTCCTCCCCTCTCTCTCCACTTTTTTTTTCTCTCTCTCTCTCTCTCTCTCTCTCTCTCTCTCTCTCTCTCCTCTCTCTCTCTCTCTTCTATCTCTATCTCTCTCTCTCTCTTTCTCTCTCTTCTTCTCTCTTCTCTCTTCCCAATCTCTCTCTCTCTCTCTCTCTCTCTTCTCTCTTCTCTCTTTCTCTCGCCTGTCTCCTCTCTCAACTCCCCCTCTCTCTCTCTCTCTCTCTCTCTCTCTCCGCTCTCTCTCTCTCTCTCTCTCTCTCCTCTCCCTCTCTCTCGCTTCCTCTCTCTCTCTCTCTCTCTCTCTTGCTCTCTCTCTCTCTCTCTCTCTCTCTCTCTCCCTCTCTCTCGTCACGGGCTCGTGAGATCAGCCAGGGTGGCTCCCCCTTGGGGCTCCCAAATGATGCCCCTGGCAGCGTTTTGTGACCATGAGGCTCTCAAGAGATACATGTTGGGGAGGCCAAACGGCAATTCTAGCTGAGGCGTCCCACCAAAATCGGCGCGAACGGGCTCGTGAGATCAGCCAGGGTGGCTCCCCCTTGGGGCTCCCAAATGATGCCCCTGGCAGCGTTTTGTGACCATGAGGCTCTCAAGAGAGACATGTTGGGGAGGCCAAACGGCAATTTTAGCTGAGACGTCCCACCAAAATCGGCGCGAACGGGCTCGTGAGATCAGCCAGGGTGGCTCCCCCTTGGGGTACCAAATGATGCCCCTGGCAGCGTTTTGCGACCATGAGGCTCTCAAGAGATACATGTTGGGGACGCCAAACGGCAATTCTAGCTGAGGCGTCCCACCAAAATCGGCGCGAACGGGCTCGTGAGATCAGCCAGGGCGGCTCCCCCTTGGGGCTCCCAAATGATGCCCCTGGCAGCGTTTTGTGACCATGAGGCTCTCAAGAGATACATGTTGGGGGCGCCAAACGGCAATTCTAGCTGAGACGTCCCACCAAAATCGGCGCGAACGGGCTCGTGAGATCAGCCAGGGTGGCTCCCCCTTGGGGCTCCCAAATGATGCCCCTGGCAGCGTTTTGTGACCATGAGGCTCTCAAGAGATACATGTTGGGGGCGCCAAACGGCAATTCTAGCTGAGGCGTCCCACCAAAATCGGCGCGAACGGGCTCGTGAGATCAGCCAGGGTGGCTCCCCCTTGGGGCTCCCAAATGATGCCCCTGGCAGCGTTTTGCGACCATGAGGCTCTCAAGAGATACATGTGGGGGCGCCAAACGGCAATTCTAGCTGAGGCGTCCCACCAAAATCGGCGCGAACGGGCTCGTGAGATCAGCCAGGGTGGCTCCCCCTTGGGGCTCCCAAATGATGCCCCTGGCAGCGTTTTGTGATCATGAGAGAGTGTGAGTGTGAGTGAATGTGACTGTGAGTGAGTCTGAGTGAGAGCGAGTCTCATCTTATCTTATCGAGTCCTATCTTATATTACCTTTATTACCCTCTATCTTATCTTATCTTGAAATCTCTTATCTTGTCTTAGCTTATCTTATATCAACTCATCTTATCGCATCATTTCTTGTCTTATCTTATTACTCCATAGGCTGTCTTATCTTATCTATTATCCTACCTTCTCATATATCTTATCTTACCTTATCATAGATTGTGCTATCTTATCTTATCTTGTAGTATCTTATCTTGTCTTGTCTTATCTGGTGATTATCATTGTGAGGAGGGAGGCGCGAGCGGGAGGAAGGAGGAGCAGTGGGAGGCGTCAGAGTAATAACAAGAACCCCAATCCTTAGGATATGGGGAATAACAAGAACCCCAATCCTTAGGATATGGGGAACAAGAAAGGCACGATCATCGAAGCGACTGGCACGGGCACGCTGAGGCCTCGACAGTTTGGCGGTCTGTCGAAGCAGCGACCCGTGTTTTTCGTACACTCGAACACTGGAGGAGGCCCGCCATCTGCCGCGGGCCTGACGGGCATTCAGGTCTCTCACGGCGCGCAGCGCGTCGTGAGACGGGCCTCCGCGGCAAAGCTGGCGGTGCGCGCTGAGAAGGTCGCGCGCACCAGCCGCCAACGAGGCTTCTCTCAAGAGCTTTCCGTACACAGCAAGAGAAAGAGAGGCGAAAAGGAGGGAAGCAGGAGGTGAAAGGGAACGAGCGCGGGCCTGGAGACCGAGCAAAACACCAGGGCACAACCGACGAATTGGAAGGGGAGAGCCTGCAACGACAGTGCAGTCGAAATCGCGATTCTCGGCCGGCCTGGCATCGTCGTGGCCAAGAGGAGCAATGATCGCCGCTCCTGGCTCACGCCCTGAGCGCGGCAAATCCGCGACTCGGCGATCACCGACGACGTGCGAAACTTCAAATGACAAAACTTCGCTCGGCCTGAGATACAGATCGAACTGCACTGGCACCGCGAGGGCGGTCAGAGCCTGCAGCAGCGGGCCTTTGGCCAGCTCCGTCGCGACCAGCAGCGCGGCCTCCCAAGGGGGCGGTTGCCGCGTGGTCGCCGGCTGCTTGGCCGCCCAACCGTCCAGCGCGCCCTTGGACTTCTGGAAGTGCGGGCGAGCAGCCGACCACCCTCGGATCCTGCACAATCCGTAGAGGGCGCTCTTGGCATTAAGGTATATAGACGGGCTCACCGGCGAAGAAGAGCGCCTCGCAGCACAGGTCCACCGTTTCATCGGCGGCTCTGGGGCCGCCCAGCTGCAGCCCCACGCCAGTGGCGAAGCCCTCGAGCTCCGCCACCGCCGCCGCGCACGCCTCCCGAGTGGCCGGCCTCAACCGGGCCAGGCGAAGGTAGTCGCCCAGCGTCCAGTCTCGCCCCGTCAGGGAGGCGTCGGCGCGCGCCGCAGCGGCTGCCCGCCGCTGGCGCTTCGCCACGGCCTCCGCGCGCGGAGCCCGCAGCGGCCGTTGGCTTTCAGAGTCAGCGCGCCGCTTCAGCGCCGGCGGGGGCGCGGCGTCGCCCCCCCAGGGCGCCCGCGGCGACCGTGCACCGGAAGCGCGCCGGGCGGGCCGCCCAGCAGCCTGGCCGCCTGGCCGAGGCCGCGGCCTGGGGTCGAGTGCGCTCGGCCACGAGCCTCGCCAAAGGAGGCGGAACCTCCGCGGGCAGATTGGCGCCGTGGCGGCGGCGGGCTCCGGGGCCCCGGCCGCGCTCGCCATCGTGCGATCCCAGCGCGCCCGGCCCGCGGGGTCGGTTCGACCCCAGGCGCTCGGCGGGGCATCGCGGGAAGCGATCTCCGCCGCGGCGCGGCGCCAGCTCGGCGGGCAGGCGCCCGCGAGCGTCGTCCGCCACGCCCAGCCGCGCACTGGATGCCGCACTTTGCCCTGCAGCTCGACGCTGTGGCGGCTCTTGCAGAGGCAGCGCCGGTCCAGCTCACCCAGCTCACCCGTTCGGAGCCTAGGCTCCGAAGGGGCCGGCGAGGCCTCCAGGCTTCTTGAAAGGCGCCCCGAACCGGCCGCTGTCGAACGCGACCTTCGGCCAGCGCAGCCGCCGCAGCTCTCGGGCCAAGAGTGGGAAGGCTCGCGCTCGGCTGTCCCGGGGGTTCTCGAACGTGACGCGGATCCCCTCCTGGCGGCAGATGCGCAGCAGACGCCGGGCGAAGCCGACGAGGAGGCGACCGGCGGGCCCGGGGTCTCTCTGGCCGCCCGCAGGAACCCAGCGCGCACAGGGGGGTCCGATGTGGATCCGCAAGACGAACCCCCGCTTGAGCCAAGACTCGACGAGGCGACGGAGTCCCAGACATGCCAGATCACAGTGGGTACCTCGGCAGACGTCGATCGGCGCCAGGCATCTAAGGCCCGCCTCATGGACAGCCCCCGCAAGCCGTGCACTGCCCGAGAATACCTCCAAGAAGCCCGGCCTCCCAGAGCGCTCCGAGGACCTTGCAGAGGAAGGATTGACTGAGCGCCCTTCTTGGAAGGGGCCCCTCTGCTTCCCAAGGCGATGGCAGCGTTCAGGCAAGGGCCCGCCAAGGCCCGGCAAGGGGCAGCAGCCAGTAACACATGTAGTTTGTGAGCTCCAGCCCCAGGGTGCCCGGTGATAAAGGCGAGCAGCGGCAGCATGTAATTCATGTTCAAGGGGGTCGGCGGCATCTTGGCAGACGGCGTTGGCCTCTGGACAATTCGCCCAGATGCTTGCGTCATGATGGCTCGCAAAGGAATGAGAGGCAGGATGAAGAAAGCTGTGCGGACGACTCCGTCTCTCAAAGGGATAGCCGCCCGCGGTGCAAGGCGGGCTGAGCGGTGGCGCGCGGCCCCCGACCGGGGGGCGACCGGCACCGCTGACCACGGCGGCCGAGAGGGTGGGCCCTGGCCCCGGCCGCGGCGCGGCAAGCGCCAGCTCCTGCCGCGACCCCGCCGCCGGGGTGAGCAGCGGCCTGCGGCCCCGGTAGCGGCCTGCAAGCAGCTCCCCTCTGTCAGCGGCCCGGCTGCGCAGGTCGGCCACGTTGGCCTCGCCGGGAACGCGTCGCCACCTGGGGCGCCGTTCGCAGGCGACGACGGCCGCCGCCTTCCAGCACTGGGCGAGCAGCTCTTAGTTGGTGGCCCGGCCCATCTCGAAGGCGCAGACGCTCGACATGTAGTCGCAAAGCCTCAGGACCTCCTTCCCGTGGAAGGCCACGTCGGCGGCGGCCCGCAGCGTGGGCGCCACGGCGGCACGCGCCTCGAGCGCATGGATGCGCCCTGGGCACCGCCAGGCACCCCGGCGCACCTCTGCCAGCGCCGCGGGTCCAGCAGCTCCTCGGGGAAGACCGCTGGGGGGGCGCCGATCTCCAGCTCCATCCGACGGCGCTTCGCCACCGCTTGGCGCAGCTGGGGCCGCGCGCCCAGGTCGAAGTCGCCGCCCCCGTCGAGGGCCCCCGTCGCGCGGCCCAGGAAGACCTCTGCGTCGGGGTCGACGGGCGCCGCGGCCGCAACGAACCTCTGGCGCCCCTTCCAGCGGGTGGCCTCCAGCACTTCCGCTGGCCGCGCGCGGGCCTGGCAGACGGCGTAGCCCTTGAGGGGGCTATCCGTGACGAAGGCGACGTCAGCCGGGGCCCAGCAGAGGTCCACCTCGCCCAAGAAGACCAGCCCAGCGGCAACGCGTAGCTCGGCCACGACACCACGTGGTAGGCGAACGACGGGGTCGAGGGGCCCTCCACCGATGAAGTCGTAGCACTCGCCGAGGGCGCTGAGACCCGGCCGCAACGCGAAGAAATAGCGTGCGATGTGCCCCGCGATCCGCCGAGGCTGCCAGCGCGCCAGCCACGGCGCCTCCGCCGCGCGATGCAGCGCCAGGTAGAGCCGCCAGGCCCGCCTCGCGGCGTGCCGCAGGCGGCCCCAGCGGCCGTCGAGCTCGAGGCCCAGCACGGTGAGACCCGGCTTGGCCCGCTCGAGCTCGTGCCAGCGCAGCCCGCGCCGGCCCAGCTCCGCCGTGGGCGCCGCGAGCCTCTCGTCGAGCGCGGCCGCCGACAAGGAGACCATGTTGCCATTGTCGACGCAAGGCGCTCTGGCCACCCGGTTCCCGTGCATCTGCGGGTCGCAGACCACGTCAAGAACCCGCGTGTCCCCCGGCAGACCCACGGTGCCCATCGCGCCCGACCCACCAGAGCCCGGCAGCGCAAGCCCTCGTCGTAGATCGTGTCGATCCCCAACTCGCCGGCGGTGACCTCCACGTCGAAGCACATCCAAGAGCCCCGCGCCGGGTCGCTGAACTGGTAGAAGCCGTCCTGCAGGTCCACCCAGCCGGCGCACAGCGAGTCGAAGCAGCCGTCGGAGTCGGCCGCGTCCTCGGGCGACGCGCCCACCGCGTCGAGGAGGTTGATGGCGCCAATAGCCTCGCCCGATGCCAAAGTGGTTCGAGGAGGGAGCCGATGAAGTTGGTTGGCCTGTCGAGCCTCAACCACCACGCGGATGCCCCCGTTCTTCTTGGCCACGAAGAACGTGCCGACGCAGGCCTTGCGGCGGCGTCGCCCGTCGACTAGGCTGCGCGCCGCCAGCCGAGCCAAGAAGTCCACGAGCCTCGGGCGATTCGCCTTCGAACGTGGGCTGAGCAGCGGGTCCCAGCACGGCCCGGCGATCTCCTCATCAGGGGCGATGTCCGCCGAGGGCAGCGCCACTTCCGCATCAATACTGTTCAGACGACCACGCGCGGCGGGGCGACGCCCCGCGCGCGGATAGGGGCGGCCGAGGTCCGGAAGACGTCGAGCCGCTCGGGGTCGCAGTCGCGACGGGTTGAGCACTCACCAGCACCGCTGAAAAGGTTTTTGCGCCGAAGGAGCCCCTGCAGGGCTCCGGTGCGATCCAGGTCCGAGGGCTTAGCCCCCAAATCTCGGACTCGACGTCGGGTCCGCCTGACCGCGGACTTCTGAGCGGCAGTCGGCGGCAACTTGCTCGGCGGCTGCAGCTGCAGCGGCCGCCCGGTCTGGGCGCGGCTGAGCGCTTTGGCGGGCGAGGGGGTCTCGACGGTTAGCCGATCCCGCTCGTCCGAGCGGGCAGCGCGCTGGGCCAGGTACCGAGGCAGCGCGGCGCGTTCTCCACGTCGGGCGGCTCGAAAGAGATGACCTCCTTCAGGAAGAGAAAACAAACATGAATGGCCCTCAGAGGTGACCGCCTCGGAGGACCGCCCCCGCCGCGCCGCGGGAGCCGAAGGCGCGGCAGCGGGCGCTGAAAGGCCCGGCGGAACGCCGGGCCAAGAGGGCGCCGACAAGGCGCCCTCAGCCGCCCGGAGGCTTGGCCCTCGCCTTCGCCCCCCCGTTGGGCGAAGTCTTCTGCTCGCCCCCGTCTGCCCCGGCCGAGCCCGAGGACCTCCCGCGCTTCTTCTGCTCGTGGTCCTGCTCCTCGCGCCGGAGCCGCTCCTGCTTCAGGACGATCCCGCGGTTCTTCTGCTCCTCGGCGATGAAGGCGTCGAAGCGCGAAGTCACCGCGCCGCCCGTCTCGTCGAGCTCGCTGCTCAACATCAAGTCCACGCCCTCGAACGTCGGGCGACGCGGGCGCCAATTCGCCGCCCGCTGCATCTGCAAGGCCCGACGGGCCAAGAGCTCGAAGCTCGCCGAATTGGTCACGTCCAAGCGGTCGCACACCAGCGAGCGGTGGGGGACCTCCAAAATCACCTTGAGCTCGCGCGAGGGCCCGCTCAGGCGCGCCACGCCGGACCGCTCGACCCAGCGGCCCCAGTGCGCGGTCAGCGAGAGCCCGGACGCGTCGACGGCTTCCAAGAACTCCGCCAGCGCCTTCGGGCCCCGGAACGGCCAGGACGGGTCCTCCTGCGGCCTCAGCGCGGCGATCACCCCGCTCAGCTGCGCCCGCTTTCCCCGCGTCGGCGGCGGGATGGGGAGGACCCGAGGGTCGCGGCCCGGGGCCCGCCGCTTCTCGGCGACCCGCTGGCGCTGGTCCTCGGGCTGGACGTTCTCGACCGCCACCCAGCCGAGCTCGTCGTCGACGAGCGCCAGCCCAACGGAGTCGCGCGCCACGAACCTGTCGGCGTTGGCCGCGAGCCCCGCCTCGATCTCGTCGCCAAACCCCTCGACGGCGGGATCCGCGATGACCCAGCGCGCCACATGCAAGGGCGCCCGGCGGCGACGCTGGGATGGCGACGCCGAGGACGCGGTCGAGGTTCCGGCCCTCCAGCCGCAGGTGGTCCAGCGCGTCGGGCTCGAGCTCGCCGAACGCGTAGACGTTCCCCCGCACGCGTTGCGGGAACGGGGCGTTCCGCCCCAAGGCGACCACGAGGTGGGCCGACAGCTGCAGCACCAGGATCTCGCCGTCGGGCGTGGCGGCCACCCACTCCCCCGGCGCGTGGCCAGGGACAAGGAGCAGCCTGTGGTGCCACCGAAAGTTGTCGTCGTCGTCGTCGAAGTTGATGCAGACCTGGCTCTCGGCGATGTCCAAGGTCCGCGGGGCCGCGGCCATCAGGCCCGGATGGCGCGGAACCGCACCGGGCCAACGTCGTTACGCACGACCACCTCGCCGGCGAGGCCGTTGCCCTCGTCGGCGTGAACCAAGGAGGCGGCCGCGCGTCGGGCAAGCCGCCGCAGGCCGGCGAAGCAGCCGGCCGCCGCCGTCGCCAGCAGCAGGCCGCCGACCAGGCTGAGCAGCAGCCCGGCCGCGAAGCCCCAGCAGCCAGCTGGGGCGGGCGCCTCGCAGGCGGCCGCTGGTGCCTCCTCGCAGGCCGCCGCTGGGCAGGCCGGGCAGGAGGCCTCGGCGGGGGCGGTCCACGTGACCGCCGGGCAGCCCGGGCACGGCGGGCAAGCCGGGCACGAGCCGCAATATGGGGCTCGCACCGGAGCTCCGCCGGCGGACGCGCCGGGCAGGCGGGCCAGGGCAGCGGCCGCGTCACCCAGGCGGCCCCCAGCTGCCCCAGCCAGGGCGCGGCAGCGCAGACGGCGCCCAGCATCCACCGCGGAGGCCGGGCCGGAGCGCACTCCCCGAACGGCCTTTGAGCCAACACATCACCACGGGATCACTGCACCGCAAACTGATCAAGAGGCTCCGCTCTAGGAAAACGAGTCGAACGACAAAACATCCAAGCCGCGCTGCAGGTCGAATCCAGGAAGCTGGATTCCCAAGAAGCCTCACCGCGGGGCGACGCCGGGAAATTTATTTCCCTCCCGGCTGCGCAGCGGGATGAATCTGAGAAGGGCCATTTACTCCTTTCTCGCCCTGGGAAAAATCTCTCTTGGGGAGTTCCCTCCCGGTAATGTTCCCCGCTGTGTGTGCTGCGGGGCACGCCCGGGACATCGATTTCCTTCCCGGCCGTGTTGCGGGGCGAAGCTAGTGGACTGATTTCTCCCCTGGCCGCGCTGCGGGACGAGCCAAGGAATTGCCGCCCCTTTCTGTGTGGGGCTGGCGGGGCAGAAACAGAGATGCATGCCCGTTGCGCTTCTACTGCGGAACTACAGCCTTCTCCCCGCTCCTGGGCTCCATCTGCTCCACGCTGCTATGGGCAAGCATCGCTGCCCTCGCTGCTGGGGCTGCGCTTCTACTGCCACCACTCTGGCTCTTCAGCTGGGCGATTCCTGCACTATGTAGCCCTGCCCACCAAAGTTCTTTCAGCAAAACCTGGGCGACCGCTCGCCTGGCATGCCCCTGTAAACCTTCTTCTCCAACACCCGGCACAGCGGCAGGACGCCCACCGAAAAAGCTTTGGATGTACTCGAGGTTGCAATGCACAAGCGCAGCATCTCCACCATGCTGCACAATGCTGGAAAGTCTTAGCCCGTTGGTCGGACAATGCACTTGGAACATCAAACTATGAGGGACCACCATGCAGTTCCTGTTGTTCCTCTCCCCTCTGTCCCGCTGTCATTTTGGCTCCATACCGCCGTTCCAGGGACTTCCCATGGGGCACGACATGCGCGAGAGCGTGCCACAAGCAGGCGCGATTTTACATGGGCGTGCCCACTTGAGCCCATGGGGCGCGAAGTGTATGAAGGGTGCGCCGGATTCAACACGGGCGCTGGCAATGGCACGTAATGCGTTAGACTGTTATGCGCCCTGTACAATGCACTCGAAGGGCACGTGCGCATGACTGAAAGGAAAGAGCAATACATTGTGAACGCTTCGCTATCACATGTGTGCGTGCACGTGCACGCTATGCATGTTAAAACAAGGCGGAGAAGGAGAACATGAAAACGCAACCCAAAACAAGGCTGGGGAAATACGCAATTCGAGAACACTCTGCAGAAGCCTTGTGGGGTCTCCGCGGGGTCACTGCGGGAACTTTCGGGATGGAAAGGGTAGCTCTTGTGGGAAACTGCCGGGGACAAGACGTAGCTTTTTGATAATGGCCCTGTAGGACGCTGTCCCCACATAACACGAGGCGCCACGACACCGCGGCCATAAACCACCCTCCGCTTGCCATGAATATGGCTACCCCGCTCACCGAAGACCGCTCTCCTACAATTCTTGGTGATTGCGGCCGCCCGCGTCTTCATGAGATAGCCGTGGCAATCCTACCCCCTCCAGGTGTGCATGTCGCAGGACAGCTTCTCCCTGGTTTCAGGGCGTGGCGGTGGTTCCTCGAGGCCGTCATTGTTTCTCAGAGGTGAATGGAGGCTGAAGGCACACAATAGCCTTTCTGAGGAAAAGCAGACCGCATAAACATACACTTTCGGAGGTCCGCTCAGATTTTATGGGTCGGTGCAGGACCCCTGATCTGGCGCGCGGAGCGCGCCAGGGGCGGCGCCGGAGACGACCTCCGACAGCTTATGTTTGTGGTATTGCTGTTCACCTGATGTGCACAGCTCCCCTCTGATTACGCATCACAGGCTAGGGTCACTTGGGGGGCCAGGTCCGCTAGGACGCCCGTCGGCAGATAGAGCAACACATCTGCGCAATGAGAAAGGATGGGAAGAGGGGATCTATCAGATATGGACCGCGAGCACTCAACTTATATCCTTTTTCTGCGCTGCTCGCCCGTGTGCGCCGCAGGGTGCTTTGGCGTTTGCTGACGCGGGGCGCAATCGGCAGAGGTTGGCCAAGCCCCTAATTTGACTTCCTGTCGACGCTCTGCAACACAGTTTGTCCTCCCCCCGTCTGTTCCTTCCCCCACCCCTCTTCTTCCTCCTGGCCCCCGCTCCCCCGCCGAACTCTGCCCTCGCCCGAAGCCGCCCCTGCACCCAGCCCCCCCCCCCCC